GGGAAGCTGACAAGTTTGCAACTTTTAGAATGCTACATTAACACCTTCATTGCTTCATCCATGCTACACTTAGAGTGGGAAATGCCAATAATGCTCAAACAGCAATTACAAAAAACTTTTTTAACAATGACTGTTGCAAGAAACTTCATAAAGTATGACATGCCCTGAAACAGCAGAAAAGTATAGACACAGTCCATCCATTCCTAAGATATTAGATAATGGCTCAGATATGATCAATAGCAATCAAATTAGCCAGAATGGAGCACACATGCACGCTGCACTGATGGATCATTTCAGGACTACATTTTGTGTATTATAACCATGAAATTATTACAAATATACATATACAAAAATCTAAAGTACAGCTTTTGGATTTAGGCAGTCCAATATTGATACACTGCAGCTGACAACATTTTCTTAGTATTAAATTAGATAAATCTCCCTGCACCCTACTTTACTAGCAAAGCACTTTTTATACAACTCTCAAGCCAGCAACCTTCTGCAATTTAAGTGTGATTTAGTGCAAGAGAAGCAATGAGTATTATAAAATTTATGCTTGTTCACCTTCTCTCCCCACAGAGAAGGGCAAGACGTTTTTTCATGTAAATATGTATTAGATCCAAATCATTTAAATAGATATTATTCCATAGAGAACATGATGCTGCATATGCCCATTTCAGCTCCATGTTACTAAATAAACTGCAAGATAATGATGTTGCCTTGCTCATCCTAAAGGACACTGTAAATATTTCTAGGCATTTCAAACAGAAGTAAAAAGAGGAGACATTCACAAGGAAAAAAGAAAAACTAGGGTGACTCTTACAGAGCTTCCTAAAGTGAAGACAAGTTACTGGCAAATTAGGAAATCTCTTTAGGAACAGGTCACAGCTGCCACAGAAAAAATGTAACTCAGATATACGGAATCTTTTCAGTATGAATAGCATATCATTGCTATCATCCAATTTCATTTTCCTTTAAATGAAGAAGGGAAAGATAATCACATTTGCAAGGAGAAAACCAAGAAACTTTAGACAGGTGACTACTTCTAAAAATTAACATAGAAATGCTAAACGCAGGGTGCCAAATGCTAATTTGTCTCTAATACGTCTCAGTTATATTTAGCTACAAGTGTCACTGCTTGAATGGAAAAGAGACAGAACAGGGAATCCTTAAACAGTGCCTTAAAAATCAGAGCTTTAAGCATGACTTTTAGGTCAATGCATATATCTCCCTGCTTTTCACAAAATGCAACTGAAGTTAATCACCATCTTATATAAAATGCAATATAAGTTAACAATTTATTTCTAAGCCATGTATATATTTAAAGTGAGGAGGACTGTCATTTGACTTGAAGCCATCACATACCATTTGGGCCACAGTCAGTTATCTTACAATACAGTCTGACCTCTACTTGATTTTAAAATAGGATAATCACCTTCAACTGTGTATGAACCTTGAACATTATCAAAAACAGTTTTATTGCATCAACGATTTATTAATAGTCTTATATTAATAGTAATGTAGCTTTGACTTTACAAAGTCATAAAGATGACGAGAAACACAGTCAAGACTTATTGTGCTACCTATTTTATTTTAGGCTTCTAAGGCAACCTCATGACACAATCAGAAAAACTATCCTGAAAGCAAGAGCTACAAAGGAAAAACAACAGAATACGCATGTATCGTCCCAGTTCAACAGCAGAGCAGGAAGGATACAGGCAGCATAATGAGTTCAGACAAATGCTGGAACCTTTCATGTACCAAAACTGTCCTGCAGCCAGCTGTGCTTGGAACTGCAGGAGTGCTCGTGCTGCGACAGGTGAGCTCTGGGCAGCAGCAAGGAAAAGGTGTGAGCCCGACTTGGGAATGTGCTAAACCAGATTCCCCTTCCAAGGAAAGCGCTGCGGGACGCCCAAAGCCTACAGGCTCCCATGCAAAACAGCCCTGAGCAAGGAGGAACACGGAGGAACACGGAGGAACAAGGAGGAAATGTTCCTCCCCAAGTGTTTCTGGTTCCCAGCTCTCACCCTGCCGTGTGTGCGGTCACTTGTGGAGCTGTTGGCCCCATTGCACCACAGTTCAAACAAAGAGCGCCTAAGAAAGTACAATATTCTATAACTGGCATTTACAGCATCGGCCTTGGACTCCTAATCTTTACCAGACGGGCACACAAATCAATCTATCAGCTCATAAAGGTATGCTTTTTAACCTCCAAAACAGATGGGATTGGCCAGAAACGTCTGGCATGTCAAACTGCTAATCGAGGCTGCCCTTTGCACAAAATAACCCACTTAAGTTGAGGCATGGTTGCACTGTAACAGACATTAGTCTGTGGGAAACCCATTTAACTGTCACATACTCCCGCCACTCTTGCTCTCCCTTAATTAAGCCTAATGCCTTATGCTTTGACCTTTTGTTGTAGCCTATTAACCCTATCTAGTACAAGTTCAAATATGTTAAACCTAAAAGTTTGCTTTTAATATTAAATGCCGAGCTGCAGAAAGAGTGAGGGATGCTTCTCTACCTTGCAAGTTACCAACCCCTGTGTTAGTCCCCAAAGACAAAATATGTTCAAACACTGATCAGTTTCACAACAAAAAAGTGGAGTTTCTTCCACTGGCATAGTGGAACACGCCAGATATTTTTCCTCTTCAGAGGAAGGTGAGGGAAAAAAAAAAAAAGTCAAACTTCTGCAAGCAACTTCATATCCTCAGGCTTTTGGGTTTTTATCCAACAAGAAAAGCACATGCTATCAGCCAAGATCATACTGCACTCATTTGCTATTCTCTGAAACCCATCATTAAAAAAAAGACATAATTGGTTTACAGTGACCAATTTCTCCTCAATTAAAGGCTGCCTCTGCCAACCTTCCTCACACTGAGTCACCATCTCGTTCCTTTGACAAGATACTCACACTTACTATTAGTATGTAATTCTCATATGCATCTCCAGGTGAGTTGCATCCTTTGAAGTTTCTCAGACTTGCACAGACTTAAACAAAGACATAATTTATTCATTCTAGCTACACACTTTTCCTCTTATGCAAGCTCAACTAAAGCATGGCTGCCTTCTGCTCCACTATCTCTCAATTCACAAAGGTTACACAGCACCAACAAGGCCAGCAGATATGTTTTTAAAGCAGTACTCTTTTGGAGAAAGCCTACCCTAAGGGTCCAGAACCCTAACTTAAACAAGAACTCTAATCCCAGTGACAATAATAAACCCCTGATCAAGACACTACTGGACTCCACAACAAAGCTATTTATGAATGCAAGCAAGCTTGGTACACCAACAGAGGTATTCCACAATTAATGCTCATAACTAGTAAACAAACCTATTCCCCACCCCAAAAAAAACCAACAATGACTGCCCATAACTGCTTTATAATATAGGTTAGAAACAGAAAACAGAATGCCAACTGTATGGAGATCACCAGCTATGTGTACACTGACAAACATGTTCTCAAATCTTTAACTTGACCACCTTACTGACAAGCTGAACATCCTTCTTTAGAGTTTATGCTTCTGCAACTCTGACTAAAAAAAGAACTCCTTTTACAAACAGGAAACAATCTTGAACCAAAGCCCTGAATTACTCTGAAGATGTGAAAGATTTCAAAGGGCTTATTGCCACAAAAGCCACTGTCTACTAAGTTCTATAAAAGCTGTATAAGAGACCATCTGCTGCTGATGACAACAATTCTCCAGTTTTAAAGTGCTAATTAATTAATTATGTTTTAATTCCAAAGTGCCTATCTTACTGATTCTGAGACCAGCAAGTAATACCATTAACTTTTCTGTAAATACAATTGCTCAGACAACTATAAGATGCACTGCAGCAACATTCAACTTCTTTTTTTAAAAAGTCAAATAGAAAAAACATTGTGGGGAAAAAAAAGATTTCTAATCTCAATTTCTGGTTGTTTCCAAAGCACTGATTCTGGTTAAAGCCAGATCCCTACAATTTAAAAAGTGCATATATTTTATAGTGATTTCACTTGGCCATATTCTATTGTGTTGGAGATACTCAAACAGCACTACACAGACCAATGTTGTATTTGAGTAAAGTCCAGCAACGCACGGAATTATTTAAAATAAGAGAAAAACACATCCCTGCATCTGCAATCTGTGTCATTACAACGGATATGAGAAAGCTCTGCAGGCTGGGATTTGGTATGACTGCCTCCAGCTTCTAGACCTTCCCTACTAATGCTCACAAAAGTTGCCACTGGAGGCAATGCAAATGAGTCCTAAGAGAGACAAGAAACAAAACAACAACTGCTTGTCAACCATTACATGCCCAAATTGTATTCTTTATGCTCATCAGCATTCTCAAGTTCTTAGGCATGCATGCAGGCCCACCGAGGACAGTGGGGCTACTCAAGTGAATAAAATGACTCACAAACCAAAGTGCATATATATAAGCAATCACTGGACAACACTCAGGGAATTATTCCCTGGTATCAAAGAGAAATAGGATTTAGGAAATGGGAACCAAGGGAGCAGATCTGAACCAAATGACAGCGATGCTAAATGTCTACAAGCCATTGTAATGTAATATCTAATAATGATTTTACTGTGACGGTCCCTTGCCACACAAGCTCAATTTGGATCTGTTTTATTTAAAAAATAAGAGAGATGGTAACACAGAAAGTGTTATTTAATCTTCTCTTTCACTCTGAAATTATATGTAAATCAAGTTCTTCACTATCTAACTACTTACCAAACAGGTGGGCTAAATCTCCAGAACTTAACAGCAAATTACACACAAAAAGTTCAGATGTTACAAAAACACTTATTTTTCTTTAATCAGCACACATATTAAAAAGAAACCCAAGTCTTACAGTAAAAGAGAGGGATTAACTTGAACATTTATCACTTCAAAACATATTATAATCCTAAAAGTCTTATACAAGGCACACAGCTGTCTGACAGCTTTGGCAAGACAAAGAACAAACCCCAAACCAAAGACACAAGGTAAACAACCCAAAAATTATTTACCTTGAATGTGGTTCCATTAGGAAAGCTCTTCCTTCAGGAATCCAAGGACGCAGTAATTGTCTTCCTCAAAAATTTCATGCTTGATCTGAAAAGAACAGCAGAAATTGCCCTATGAAATTCTGCAAATCATTCTTTCCTACCTAATATGCCTTGATCTACTTTCTTCTGTTGGTGTAAGAGAGAGCAATGCTTTATTTCGTTTAATACAAACAGCAAATAACATTTTCATATCAGAAGAAAAACATAGTTCCAAATTTCAGAAATCAAGATCTTCCAGACAGAACCATGAGTAAAACTAGTAGAAACAACTCATGGTGTCTAGACTTGTACTAAGGGACATTATTCTGCAAGAACAAAATCCACATTCAACTCTAAGCCAGAATCCTCTTTTCCTTCCTTTCATTCAAAAAACAGCTGTGACATGAAAGCCCTCCTTCCTATGTAGTGGTTACTGCTTAACACTTCAAACTTGCACCCATGAACATCAAAATCAGTTTTTAAAGAGCCTCTATTAATTTACATATACATAAGGAAAAGACAAGAGTATAGTATAACAGGTGAGCTAAATGCAACAAAATTTGTTCAAAAAGAAAATAAACCAGCTGAAATTGTAATATTTGCTTTTGAGAGATTTAAGAATAGTATATAACACCATTTTGTTTAAGTAAAGAATGTTATTCATTACAATCCCAACCTTAAAAGCTCTTCTCAGCACTTGTCCATTATTCTTAAGTGAAATTTTGTTAAAGGTTGTAAACTTAGAGCTAGCCCAGATCATTCTTATTTCTACTATTTCAGCCTTGTTGTTGGGACAAGCCTCACTATTAAAGGTCTTTTTTTGGCTATCACCAAAGCAGCAAGCTTATTATGCATGGAGTCAACTTTAGATACAATAAAATACACTTTAAAAAATTTAAAAGCAGATACTTTCCCCACCATTAAGCTGAACTTTCCCCTCCCTCCTTCTGCTTGGCAATAGGAGAGTTCCTCTCCTTATTTCAACACCTTTAGCCTCTGTTCCCACAAAAAGAAAAATGCTTACAAAAGCTTTTTAAACACAGAATTTCTCTAGCATGGAGGACCCTGCAGGTGGATCCAGGTGGGTAGGATAGAGGGGAAGAGTGGGAAGTGTGTGTGCTGGGGGCACATCTGAGCATTTCCCCCTCCAAAAAACCATCTGGGTTCAAGCCAGATTGGAGAAAACATCCAACTCTGACCACTGCAATGTGCTTGCTAACTAGAAAAAGAGATACAGGTGTTGATCAATGGGTCATCATCCAAAAAAACACCTATTCAAAGCTTGCAGGGACATGAAATGACAGCAGCATGCTGGGCTACTGCCAGCACCAAGACCCAACAAAAGATGCCCAACAATAGAGCCAATTAAGCTGAAAAATAAGTAAATACCCTGGAATACTACATGCAGACACTATTTTAAATCCTTCTTCCACACAGATAACAAAATGAAAAGGTAAGTTGCACCACAGAAGGGGCGCAGTCCTCAAAATTTGTATTTAGTAAGGGGAGGAACAAAGATCTACCATCACAGTAGAAATTAACAGAGAAATGACAGGTACAGTGACAAAGGTGCTAACAAACAAACACAGTTCAAAGCCTTCTCAACTCCATTTTACTGAAAGGGTAAATAAGCTGGATCTGGAATCTTTCATAGACAATGAAAAACAGGACAAGAGGTCCCAAAGAGCAGAAGAAAGCAGCGCTATTAAAAAACAAGCCACCTGAATTTGAGAAAAATAGTTAAAAATAGTTAAAAGTAAATTCCAGTATTACTGCTCTATACTATAGATGTAGACAAAATGCTTTGAACTTAGTCATTCTTAGTGCCAGGAGAAGAGAGATTGCTATGTGGTAGGGAAAAACACAGAACAAACACAAAAATACACTCCATACAGTATTGCCATCAAGATTAAATGTATAGATGGGATTTCCTCGAGGTCAGCATTCAACAGTCTTTTTTGTATTATTCCAAGTGACTACAAAAGGTTTATGAGAGTTCACTGAAAAGACAACAACAGAATTTGTTATTTTTGGGGAAAATTCCATATTTCTTTAGTAGGTTTTAAAAACTGAAGAGAAAAGAAAAACTTTTCCAGAGTAATATTTTACTCCCAAACTCTTTGCATCTGAACCACTCACTTGACACACCTTATAGTTTTTGGAATGTTGATTTGTGTTGTTTCATGGACTGTCAAAAGCAGGGTATGTGATAACACAAACACCACCACCAAGGCCATTTCCTGGGGCAAGAACCATCATTTCTTTCTGCATCTGAGGCAAGCCCTGCTTTTGACATCACAGAAAAGCCTTTCCAGTTCACCTTCCCTCTCTCTTTTCACAGTGGGATGGGGCACAGAGAAGAAGCAGAAAGCAGGTAGATGTGAATCTTAAAAGTTTGCTATGGAAAAAAAAATCAGAACAACAATACCAACTCTAGGACCAATGAGAACAAAAATATGGTTCATCTGTGAGCAAGATGTAAGATCTGTAAGCAAGATTTACTTCCTTGGATACATTTCAACATAGAACTTCACGGACTATTTTTGGGGCAAGTAAATACTCCCTTATTTGTTTTCAAATAATAGTTTCATCCAAGACTGGAACACATTTTACATCTAGCACCTGATCTCTCTGCAAGGACTCCCTCACAACTTCCTTTCTTGAGAGGAAGATCATCCTCTCAGAAGTCTTTCCCAACACCCAGTTTCTCTCCTACATTAAACTCACACTCTTAGAAACCAGTGACTAAAACAGAAGATCTGTAGCTTCTGCTTTTAATCTGATTTTGTCTACAAGCAACATTGGTTTTCCGCCGCTGAAGGCAATTTGGAAATAAGTGGTATGAAAACAAAATTTCACTCAAGACAGGCAATTAAACAAGAGCAATGAGCTCCAATAATAATTTAAGTATGAGAAGACTATGCCAGGAGGGGTTTGACCCAAGCTAAGATGTCTAGCAACTGCTTCTTCCCCTTTCTACACATGAATATTTATTTACATGAGTTTTAGTTTCTGCTCTCCTTCTTCAACCATCAAGCCAAGTGACCTGCAACAGACAGCCAAATAAATTACCAAATTAATTCTTTCAAGTGCTAAATAGGTCTGTGAGCATTTCCAAGTATTTGAAATAAATAATCCAGAAACCCTAAAGAGCAGGCATTCCTCTCTAAACAAAGTCTCTCTGCCCACTTTTCCCAAGGAATATCTTCCCACTGGTAAGCACATGAGTTTTCACATGATCCCAGATGTTCACATAGAAGTACTGGGTGCCAACCCTTGTATGCTGCTCTCTAATTCAGTCTTTTCCAATGCAACTAGTGAATCTCTAACACCAAAATGTGGGAAAGCAATGCCACAACCCTGCTAAACACTTCCCCCCCTGCTTGCTGCAGGCAGGCCAGCACAGCTCAGAGTTACTGCTCTTATCGTTTTGGCCTGTTGGCAGGAAGAAAGAGCAAACCACAAATGCTGTTACCATTAACCTTTTTGTCTTTAGTTCAAGGCTGTTTAGACAGACTGTCAAATTTATGCTTTCTATCTTTTTTTGTACATTTATGCATATTCTTTCACACCTTCTCCTCTTGCTCAGGTTTCACTCCCTACCTACCTTTCTGCTTGTTTGTCATCGCCTGCCCTCCTGAGCAGCAATGATTTATACCTCAAACTTTGCACTTCTTGTCCCGAAAGGGTATTTAAGCTTTTTAATCCATAGGATAGCTATCCTATTAACCCTGCCCCCTGCTCATCACTCAGCAGGTGGGAGATGATGCAAGCACCACGCAAGGGAGGGGTGGCCACCAAAGCCCCCCATGGAAAAGGGGTTGTGCCCCCAAACCAGGCACCCAGCTGGGAACCCCCAACTTTCCCCAGGCTCTCTTCTGGATCCCCTCCACTCCCTGTACATTCACAAACAGGAAAAAGAAACACAACCAACAAGACTTTTGGGGTTTGAGGTACAGGCAAGCTCTGAAGAGCTATTCTAAGATTCTAATCCAAAGATCTTATGGTCTTCATGTCTTCTCTGACAGCTCTGCAAGGAGGTGTCAAGCACAGCCCTGGAGCAGGACAGCTGACTGGGGGAAATGCAACTCCCTGGCTTTGCCTTGGGCAAGTTTATACATGTGCTTGGCACGGCGCAGAACAGGGTTTATCTTTTATTGTAGCCATGGCCTGCACTGTCCCTGGTAAAGTTAACAGAGCTCTCACTGCTAGTGATAATAAAGCTGGCACTACAGAAACTTTTTGCCACTGTTCAAAGCCTGAAAAATAAAGTTCACTCTGAAGAGACAAAAAAAGCTTTAAGCAAGCAAGACTTTGTCAATTCTTTTAAACAAATCCTGCAATAAGCAAAACCACAGGCAAATACGAGCACCATGAAGTTAATTCGTGTTTGGATTAACTGAATCATTTGAAGTTTTTCTTGATGCCTTTTACAGGACAAATTTACCCCAAACACTGCAGGTGATACAGCCAGTGATTAGATCACCCTTTTAAGTTTACAATATAAAAACACTATTTACTTTTACTTCTTTATCAACATAGTTTTTATGACTATAATAAATTTTGGTTAGCACATCTTTCACTTCAGAAAAAGAAACAAGCATGGGAAGCAGAGAGGAAGAGCATGTTTTCATCTGCAATTTTCTGCCAAAAGACTAAAAGGGAAAAAACCCCAAAAACCTCAGTCCAGCATGGTTTGGCATTTGACTGCATGCTGTATTCTGTGCATGCATGGCCTACAAAACCTGAAAGCCATTGATAGCTCCTGCTCATTAGATAACCCAGAAGCACAGGCCAGTCTAGCAGCAGGTCAGATTTCACCCCTGCCCAAAACAAGCAGCCACTACTCCCTTCCTCCTCCATGGCACACTCAGAACACAAACACCCTTACATACACATTTCACTCATGACTAACTCGCTGCCTTGCTCTGGAGTCCATGTCAACTCTATCTCAGAACCACTGACAGAACAACAAGTCAAACTTCTCCACCACAAGTTTGGGAACACAGCAGCAAAAACCCCAAAGCTGCCTGAGCACCGTTCTCGATGAGAACTTCTGCCTTCCAAGATGTTAGCTACTCATGCCCATAGAGCAGAATTACTCAGATGCCATTAAATCTGATCCCAACCACAAGATATCCTCAGCTCAGAGAGCTTTTGTCATCTGGCATCTTAATGTGTCACTCTCTCATGTGTTCAGTCAGCTCTGGAAGCAGCAAATCGCATTTGTGTATTAAAGAAAATGTTCCCTGCTCGCTCAGGAATACACATCCCCCCTTCCACAAGTGACTGCTTCCTCCCCACAGCTCCTCGCAGATTGGATTCGCACTCTTTGTTAAATAAAGCTTTACGGTATCTCTGAACATTTATAGTGCCATGACTCAGTTAAATTCTAATCAGCCTGTGAGCTGTCTGACACTGCAGCAGGTCCCCTCAAAATAAAACCAGGAATAATATAGTCTCCAGATTCCAGAGAGATGAGGCAAAAGAGGACAACTTCCACTTCAGCCTGCTTAACAACAACATAACCCCAAAGCCAGGAATCCCACTGGTTTTTTCCAACACCTCCAACATGTGTCAAGCATTTTATCTGAATCCTTCTTTAAATTAAAAGCCCAGTAAATCAGCAGGATACACAAGACCGAAGAAGAAAGGTGCAGCACAGACACAAGGCTGTCTGCTCGCTACAACGCTGCCCCCGTTTTGCCTCTAGTACGTTTCCTTATGTTTCACTACCTTCCAACTTAATCACCCACTGACACTTCGAAAGAAGAGCCTCAAACAACACGTTCTGTAGGGAAAAACCAAGGGTGGAAGTGAGAGGAAGAAAAAATTTTAAAATTCACCTTTAGAGGGCTTCGGGGACACACACACAAAAAAATAAAAAAAAATAAAAAAAAAAAAAACCCACACCACGTCTGGAAAAGTAACCTTTAGTCTAGAAGGGAAACAGCGACGTCCCTAAGGAGCCCGGAGCGATGAGAAGGCATCTTTGGGGGGCGCAGGGAGCCGAGCCCGAGCCGCGGCCGAGCGGGGCCGGCGGCGGCAGCCCCGGGCTGGCTGCGGGCCCGCAGGTGGCGGCGGGCGGGCAGCGCCAGGGCCGGCAGGAGGCGGCGGGGGCGGCGTGGCCTTGCCCGCAGCCCCGGCAGCGAGGCCGCGCCGCCGCAGCCGCTGCGCACCCGGGGAGCGCCCGGCCCCGGGGACCGCTGGCACCGGCCCACCCAAAGGGGGGCCCGGCCGTGCGCTCGGCGAAACACCGGCGGGTCCCGGGGGGACGGAGTAGTAACTTTTCCGTGCCGGCGGCTCCCCCGACCCCACCGCGGCCGGGCAAACTTTCCGCCCGCGCCGGGGGTGCCGCGGGGCGGCCGCCGGGCTCACCCCGGCATTGTTCCCCGGTGCCGCCGCCCGGCAGCGCGGCCCCGGCCCGGCCCGCCCCGCTCGGCCATTTCCCCGGCGGAACAGCGCCGCACTCACCCCGCAGCCGCCGCGGCTCCTCCCGGGCGGGCTGCCCGAGCCCCCCGCAGCCGCTCCGGCCGCACGCCGCCCCGCTGCCGCGGCCGGTCCCGGCGCTGAGCTCCGGGGGAGCGGCGGCTGGCGGAGCCCAGGCGGATGGACGGACACACGGACGGGTCCCCGCGGCTGGAGGACAGGACAGGACAGGGCTGGACAGGGCAGGACGCGCCGCCTCCCTCCCGCCACCGCTGAGCCCGCGCGTCCCCCCCGCCCCGCGCATCCCCGCGCACATACAGGGCGAGCCGAGCTCCGCTGCGCTGCTCTCCGCGGCTCGGGGCTCTGCTGCAATGCCTGCGAGGCTGACTTTCAAAGCCTAACCCGCAGCCGCGATCCTCCCTCTCCGCCTTCCACCTCGCCCGCCGCGGCGCAGCCCGGCCCCTCCCCGCGCCGCGCCATTCATCTCTCCAGCCAAGTTTCTTAACCCTTTGGTGCCCTCCCGGCAGGAGGCAGCGCGGGATGCGGGAAGCAGGGATGCGCCCCCCGCCCCGCCCGGCCAGGGCAGGGCGGCCGCGCCGCACGTACGCGCATCCCATCCCCTCCTGCCCTCTCCAATTAATCTCACTGAAGTCGCGGAGCCCCCGGGAAACAAAGTTACGAGCGACAGCGCCGGAGGACACGTATCTAATGAAAGCGGCAGTGGCTTAAAAATAACACTTTTTTTTGTTTGTTTGTTTTTTTTCCTTTTCCTTTCCCCCTTCGGCTGCTTCGGAATAATGGGGGGGGGGGGGGGGGGGGTGGTCGCTGCTAGTGTTACTGGTACTTATCGGTTTAGAGCTTATGTTTTCAGCATTTCCTCTGAAAGACACGCGCTAGAAACTTCAGTGCTATTATTACTATTGTTATTGTTATTATTATTGTTATTGTTAGTACCGCTATTTTGAAGGAAAAGCCGGGATGCTCCTGGCACGGGAGGGCAGCGGCCCCGGCACCTGCGGCTGCTCCCGGCTGGCGCTGCTCTCGGCTGGCCCTGCCGGCTCCCGGCACGGCTCCTCATCCCCTGCCCAGCCTCCCAGGGCACCGGGAGAGGGGAGCATCCCTGCCGGCTCCCAGCACGGCTCCTTATCCCTGCCCCAGCCTCCCAGAGCATCGGGAGCAGGGAGCATCCCTGCCGGCTCCCGGCACGGCTCCTTATCCCTGTCTCAGCCTCCCAGAGCATCGGGAGCAGGGAGCATCCCTGCTGGCTCCCGGCACGTCTCCGTATCCCAGGGCACCGGGAGCCGGGAGCATCCCTGCCCGCCTTGCAGGGCGCCCGGCGCTCCCTGTGCCGCGGGGGAAGGAGGACAGGCGGGGGAAGCGCTTTCAGCATCGGGGCAGACTGATCAAAGCAATGCTGTCTGCCCACGTGGCAAATAAATACAGTTTGGGAGGGGAAAAATAAAATATAAAACAACACGGAGCTGGGCAGTGCTTCCCAAGAAGAGTCAGCCCTACCTTTTGGTAGGCGACGTCGCCAAACCTCTGCTGTCAGAAATTGCACTGAATGTCAAGTTGTTCTTTAGGCTTTGCTGCCACCAAAGAGAGTACGCAGAGATACAGGCTGAACTTGGCTGCATAAACGAAGCTACAAAGTGCATGCGACCTTCATCGCACCTCCTGTGTGCCCGTGTTTAACAAACGTCTCGACGTGCCGCACACTGTCTGCCAAACCTCTGCAGAGCGCTCCATGGTACTTCACTTCTGCGAGTCAAAGACTGACGGAAGAGAAACAAATTTGTTTGCAAGTCACATATAAACTGCATGGTAATTACTGCATTAACACATGCCAACCTTTTAGTTTTAAAGCTCAGGTAAAATAAATGATCTGCTCAAGCGTCTTTTTAGTAAGAGATTAATATTAAAGGAATGTCCACTTTAAAGAAAGCAAAAGGGTGTTACATTTATGAAAAGCTAAATATTTTAGCTGAGAGATAACATGAAAGAAAGTAGATGTAGGAATGTTAAGCAAAACCTCTTTCACTTTGGAATGTGCGGATTGTGTACAGGCTTAGAGTGGAGCTAGTAATGTATTACTTGACCTATTTTTTTAAGCCAATGAAAGATATAGGTTAACTTCATCATGTGTTTTTAACCACTTTCTTCCAGACATGCAGCAGCATTTTCTAAAGCCATTGCATGTCACAGTGTTTATACAAGCCTCTTTTTGAGAGCATAAGTCTCATAATGTAGCCTGATCCTACTTCCATTAAAAGAATGGGTTTGCTCTTCATTTTTATTATAGGCTCATTAGCAAATTTTGATGGTAAAGAAATTAGCCTTAATTTTTTTATTTCACAAAGAATCTTCATCTCAAATTTTTTTCAATGCTAAGCAGCTGAGTTATCCAGGGAAAAGGAAATTTTCTCATTACTGCAGCAATTTATCTGCTATTTCAATCAAGAGTGTCTGTAGTAGAGATGTCTTTCATTCTTAACCTTAGGGAATGTATTGCGTAGATGAGAGACCTACAAAATGAGGAATCTTGGACAAGCAACAGAAAAAAAATGTGTGTGTGGAGTATTTCTTAAAATTATTGTTGTCAGGTAACATATAGTTGCTTGAGGACACAAGTTTCAGGAAGATACCATCAACTGAGACTGTTTTAATAATAAAACATAAAGATTTAGTAGGTTATTTCCACTACTTAATAGTTGTATCACAGTGAATGGTGCCACTAGCCCATGTTTACTTAACTATGAGAATTCAAACAATCTACCAAGTAAATATCCTGTGCAAGTAAAGGAAAAAATCCACCAGACAGTGAAATCCACCTCTCAAGAGGTATGGAAGTACTGATGTGTATTTGTTGGTCCTTTCTGAACGTTCTTCAAGCAAACCTAAACACAAACATAAAATGTGAGCATCCCTGGCTGTACCCACCTACCATCCGTGGATGGTGTCTCTACCTTCACTTTCCTATAGGATCACAAAACAGGACACTTTGTTTGATTTTTTTTTTTTTCTAAGGGAATTCATCACTATAAGATGCTGTTAAATGGAAGGCCGACTGTGACAGGGAAGCATAAACTACCTTTGCACCAGTCTTGGAAGGGAAAAGCTTCCAAGTATTTATAGAGCTTACATTAGAACTCACTCCCAGAACTGCAAGCACTTACTGGAGAGCTATTGGTGTCATGCTTTGGTGATATCAGCAAACCATTAATTTTTTACATTTATAAAAGTACATCATAATGCACCCCCTCCTTTACAAGACAGAGGGATATATTTTTGGCCTAGGAAAACTTCTATCAAAACCAAAATATAACTATGATTCTGACATTCTTGAAGAACAAAATTAATCTGTCTGACCATTTAAAAAATGGTTAAATAAATAGTTGATGCACCTAAAACTTCTCTTTGATAATTTTGATGATTACGATACTGCATTTAAAAAGACAAGAAAAGATGCATCTTCAGTAGCAAACTTTGTCTTTAACTTGCTGAAGTAAAATACCCCGTGTTTTGGTCTGTGCCATATGGTTAAAAGACACATATTATTATCAAAAAATAAATGCAAATGCTGTTTTACTATTCCCAAACCTTTTTAAGCTAATGCTAGCTTATTTTAAATCACATAAGGTGCTTTGAAGAGCTTGGGAGAACTACAGTTACTTTTATTTTGATTTTTATTTAAGGTTATCTCAGGCTCTCCAAAAGCTAACCACTATGAAACTACCTTTTTCAATCACAATAATTAAGGCCTTGCTTTATGGCATCCAATCATGATATGAGAGGCTTAGGATGTGGTCGAGAAGCTAGCTGGCTTTACAGAAATGCATTTCCAGACTAAATCTTCCTCTAAAATAGTTTGTCAGCCTTACATAGACAAATAATGAAATTCTGTCCTTGACTCAGCCTAGTTCAATTCACATAATATGTCAGATTAGCCACCATTTCAAAGGTGCCTTCACAGAGGATTAAATCACCTAGTTGTTACAGAATTTAGGGAGGCACACACACACATACACCAAAAAATAGAAAATAAAAAGAAAAAAGGAATCATTATGAATCCTGTTTATTCAATAAAGGATTTCAGAGGAGGTTTGCTTTAAGTAATGATCATCATGTAATGGGGTTCATCCATAAGTATGAAGTAGTAAGGTGCAAAGTCTGCTGTTCTTCAGGAGTACTGTCTGGGAGTACCTGAAATCAGGGGAACCTTACAAGGGTTATCAGAAGAAAAACTGGTCCAGGGAAGGGCTCCTGCAGGGGCATCTCCTGTTTTCCTCATGCCAGCAGCAACTCTGCAACTGTTGGTGGTGGAGTTGAATTACACAATAACGTGTAAAAGGAAGTGTAATACACTCTACAGCTGAAAGTTATAAAAACTACACACCACTGCTTTTTCTTCTACCTACATTTAAAATTATAAAAGTATTTGTATGCTTACATCTGTCATTCCCTACTGGAGCTGTTTTCCACTTCCTTTTTTCTTTTGTTTTTTTTTTTTTTAATTACAGAGTCTACTTCCATTTTTACAAGCGCTTCCAAGCAGGTCATCTGAGAGGAATGTACCCTTAGCAGCTCAAATTAATTTTTTTTTCCCCTGCATTATTTAAAAGTAGACTTCAGACCGCGACTATTTATTCTAAGAGTAATAAGCAAAGGACCAGATGCTAGAGTCTTTTCAATTACAGAAACATTTAAAGACAGCTGTACCATATAAACTCTCATGGAGGAATCATATGCTTGCAGCATCTGGTGGGTTTTGGCCATGCCCCCAGCACGCTGTATCTGTTCTGAGGCACGAGCTAGGGTGAGGTTTACTTCACCATGTGGGTTTTTGGGGTAGGGGTGTGCTGTTTTTTGACCCTAAACGAGGACTAATGTGACCCACAGAGGTCTGAGGATGAGGTAAGAGACGAGGATCTGACTCCATGTTTCAGAAGGCTTGATTTATTATTTTATGATACATATTATATTAAAACTATACTAAAAGAATAGAAGAAAGGATTTCATCAGAAGGCTAGCTAAGAGTAGAATAGGAAGGAATGAAAAACAAAGGCTTGTGGCTCAGACTCTCTGTTCAAGCCAGCTGACTGTGATTGGCCATTAATTACAAACAACCATATGAAACCAATCACAGATGCACCTGTTGCATTCCACAGCAGCAGATAACCATTGTTTGCATTTTGTTCTTGAGGCCTCTCAGCTTCTCAGGAGGAAAAATCCTAAGGAAAGGATTTTTCATAAAAGATGTCTAGGACACACTAACACTTCATGTCTTGCATTTAGTGGCAGGAAAGAAACACTACTTTACACCTTTTATAGAAGAGTCAAAAGGGCTGGTGCTAAATTGACATGACTACCTGACATTAATTGTTTTACCAGAATA